CCCCACCCCCGGCCCCTGCCCTTTCCTGTAGCCTCATGCTCCTCCTCTCCCTCCTTCTCATCATCCTGATTTTCGCTCAGCTCCTCCTGAAACGAATTTCATCTTTCTGTGTATTATCCCGATGTCAGTTGAAAAGATTAAAGATTCTTCAACGTTCTTTAAAGAACTTTTCCCTTTCTAATTAAAATTCCTCTTCTCTGAACCCTGCTTTTAAAGCTCTTTTTTGGTGGTTTCCCTTAGAATAACTATCCTCTGACATACCCTGTGGAAACCGCCTCATTTCAAGGAGATGATAGCATTATGTTTGCTGGTGCACAGCATCCACTCCTTTTTCCTGTGATATTTTTATTCTCAAATGGGGGAGGGAGGAGAAAGGCACCTCCAACATCTCTGAGGGGCTCTTAGCTTTGCCATCCTGGACAACCTTCAATAATTGTCGTGCTCCCCCTGACGGAACAGAAGCAACTGAAATGGCCTCGGTGTTAGGGACAAAAGCGATTTGCTCCGGCTCTCCTCCCGACTCTCCGCCCGTATCTGAGACTGATGGTCTCAGTGACAGTTCTGGAGACCATGTCAGAACAGGAGTCAAAACACAAGAGAAACAAAAACTACAGGAATTAGAAGAGAAGGGCTAAACATGAAAGTAAATGTGATGCTCCTTTATTGAGATTTTAAAACTTCACCTACCGTTGAGCACTCTGCCTATCAATAGCCAGTCTGGGAGAATGGGCGCCCCAGTGAAGGGATGGCTGAGGTGAGCGCAAGACGGGGTTCTGAGCGCTGGCTTTGGTCAGGGCTGCCTGAGAACTCACTTCTAGTGATACGTAAACCAATAATAAATTTAAAGGGGGCATGCACAGACTAAATATAAGAATAGCACCTATGCAAAGGTTAGCGTTATTCTAACCCAGAGTACCCAAGAGGCAAACTTTCCCCACCTACCCCCACACACAAAAAAAGTCAGTGATGCATAAATTCACAGGTCCTGGATAACTCAAACTGACCTTGTCAGAATCACCTGGCTAGAACGAGTTCAAGGCCTATCGTTTGAAACATGATTTCAAGTGTGTTCTTAGCATCTTTTTGGCAATTTTTTAAATGACTTCCACCTAAATGGAAACACCAGATTGTTAGCCATCCTCTGCTCTGCACAGCTCAGCTCGAGCCAGGCTCCTTGATGTTCGCCAAGTTGGGTTCCCTCCTTGACTCTGTAATCCTAGATTTGCAGATCTATGCTGTGACTCCCATTCCAGAGAGCCAAGAGGTCCTGCAGAGAGAGGGTGTTCCAGACAACATCAAGAGCTTCTACAAAGTGAATCACATCTGGAAATTCCGCTACGACAGACCATTTCACAAAGGCACGAAGGATAAGGAGAATGAATTCAAGGTACCACGCTGTCCTTACTATGTCTGCCTAGACCGTGCGTTTCTTGGGGCAAGACCCGTGGTAAAAGTTTACGCACACTAGAGTCAAGTGACGGAACCTGAAGGAACTCTAGAAATGCTTCAGTCCAGTGGTTCTCCACCTCTGGCGTGTATCAGAGTGACAGGGAGTGCTTTGTCACCAAGCAAATGTTTGACCCTCAGCCCAGGAATTCTCACTCAGGGGATCTGGGAGCAGGACAGGAAGTCACATTTTTTGGTGACATTTCTAGTGCCAGGGATCCTTGCTAGCTCTGTGTGCTCCCCGCCGAAAAGGGTACCAGTCTGCACGGCCCCACTGGGGGGAAGGGGCCAGGCTGTTCAGCAGATACGTTAGAAGCCTCCCTTTTCTTGAAAACAGAGACATAGTGAGACCAGATGGTCAGTATTTGCATCTCAACCGGAAAATGTGAAACCAGCTTGTGATGAGGGCTTCACTGGCTTAGCATCTTTTATCACAGATTCTCGTCTTAAGGCAGGAGTGCTGTCCTGACACTGTCGGAAGTCAGCCCTGCCTCAGTGTCGGTTCCCCGTGCCTGCCCAGCGCAGTACCCGGCGTTATTCAGAGCAGGAGATGAGAAGGGGAAGCTGGGCTGGTTTTACAGCATTCCAAGGGGGCTGAAGAAAGGGCAGTCCTGCGTGCAAGGAGCTCTGATGGGTGAAGGGGCAAGGCAAAGAGACCCCCGGACTGCACCACCGGTCATCACTGAGAGGCCTGTTGGCACTTCTCAGTCATTGCACTTTTTCCTCCAGAACCAACCGAAGGTCTAGTTGGCTTGTGGTGTAGTTCTCCGTGCAGTTGCCTGGAGTCAGGCCGCTGACTTGCTCAGTCACCTGCTAATCACCAGTAGGCCCAGCGCGGGAACCCGCATCTTCTGGCTCCCTCTCGTTCCTTTTCAGACTGCACCACATCTCTTTGTGGTCATCGCTTTGAGCATGTAAATATTTACCAGTGAAACAGCAGCCTCTGGTGGTGGGGGAGATGTGCCTCTTCATTCCTGTGCTCACAGAGCTTAGAGTCTGACTCCCAAATGCCCCCTCAGGGGTTTTTTCCTCCACCTTAGCCCACTCACCAAATGCACCCCAGCTCCAGCCACGCCCGGCTTCTCTTCCTCTGCCACCGGGTCCTTTCACAAGCCCTACGGCACCTGCGTGGCTGCTTCCTCCTGCCTGTGCGGCTCTCCCACGCCTCCTGGCAAACTCCTACTCACTCTTCAGAATTCAGCTCACACGTCACCTCCCCTGGGAGCTGCTGTCCTCCTCCTCCTCCTCCTGCTCCTCCTCCTCTTCCCCAGCATGGCAACACCTGCATCCTCTGTGCTCCCCGAACCTCTGAGCGCTACTTACCTGCTTACCTTCCCATCCCCAGCAGAATACTGCCAGCTCTTATCACTGGGGCTCTGCCAGTAGCTCTTGGCAGATGCAAAGAAAGCCTTCCATTGTGGGGGTTGTTGTTTTTGTTTCAAAAAATGGCACAATTTCAGGAATTTTACTGCATCTTATTCCCTTGGGAATACAGTTGGTTTAAATAAGAAAGATGAGGCATAGATACTGAAGTCAGGTTGGCAAAAGAGAAACCTATCGTCAGCAGCATCGCAGACCAAAGCAGCTATGGCTTCACAGGCACAAGAAGTGTGGCACCGTGCATATGGCAGCGGGGAAGGAGTCAGGGTCCACAGCGGGCACTGCAGGTATCAGGATGCCTCTTTCGAGCAGGTCAACTGTCTCTTTGAGGCTTCTTAGGACACTGCTCTTGTGATCTTTTGTGGGTGCTCTCATGTTATTAACCTCTTCCAGATCAAAATGTCTAAACCTGGAGAAGGAGAGATGGCTTAAATCAGCATTTTGGAGAATAGCAGAGAAAATAATACGATGCTCTAGCGTTCCGTGTGGAAGCTTCTCTCTGAAGGGAGCACCCCTTGCTCTATGTAGAAACAAGTTTCAGGCAGCATGCAGGAGAATTCTTGCCACAAGCTCCAGCAGTGTTTTACTATGATGGTTTCATGAGTATGAAAATGAAGATGAAAGAAAAGCTGACAGGAATAAGCATGCCTGATCACCTTCATCATAACTCGGGGCCAGGGAAGCAGAGCAGCTTGGGGACTTAATTCGTTTTGTGTTTCATAGAGTCTCTGGGTGGAGAGAACGTCCCTGTACTTGGTGCAGAGTTTACCTGGCATTTCCCGCTGGTTTGAAGTGGAAAAGCGTGAAGTGGTAAGAATCACAGCTTATTTCCACGCACTTTCTCATCACTGCTGCTCACCTGGGGTCGCGCCAAATACTAATTGCTTCTGCTGTTGTCTCAAAGTCCCTGGATTCCCTCATAATAAGTTCGTGAATATTTATGATTCTGACTACTATTACCAAGACTGGGATGGTGGACATTGATATTGTCCTAGTCCATTCAGCCAGAGGAATTCCTTGAAAACTATGACTGCTGCATGTAAAAAACTACCCAGGCCCTTGGGCGAGAAGAACTAGAATTCCAGCTCTCCTAACTGCTTTAGGTTGCTATGTGATCGTCACAGTGTACAACATGGTAGCCCAGTGCCTAGAAGGCTACTACAATGTCTCATTTAATCATCCTTTCAGAGATATGGGGTGTGTGTTCATTCCCCTTTTTCACAAATTTCAATAAGAAGCTAGCTGCCTTTGCCAGAGGTCACACAGCAAGGCGTTTGAAAATGACAGACTCAAACCCAGAGTGTTCTGATTTCAGGGCCAGTTGTATTAATGTCTTCAAGCCTTGGTTTCCTTGTAGTCAAAATGAAGCTAATGTAAGCCCTAGCAGTGTGTGGGATACAGGGAAGTCCATGCTGGTGCAGTTGACACTGGGAGGGTGTTCACATATCAGTAACTGAGCAGCTGCGGGTGGAGCCCCCATTTGGAGATCAGTGGATACCATGGCAGAGTCTGGGAACACCGTGCTCGAGACTGCACCCCCAGCCTCCATCCCAGCTGTGGAGAGCAGGGAGGCAGCAGGTGTCGGGAGCCATAATTAGTGTCTGATGACCTTGGCCTGCTCTGAATCTCACAGCATCCCTTCTCCATCCTTGAGCACATCCATTATGGCTGAGACCAGTCCTCTATCTCAAAGAGAATGTGCTGATTGTGAAAATACACTGTAAGCATTACCTTCTTCAGGCAAAAAGCCCACTCTTCCTATGAATAAGAGCAGGTTCCTGCCCAAATGCTCTTTTGAGGACGGACTGTCCTACTCAAACTATCTCAACATTCAAACCCTGCTTATCATGTTTGATTTAGCTAATGATTTAATGGGATTTTCATTTTGTGGTGGCAAAAAATACAGCTCCCTAAACAAATAGAACACAGCGGTCCCTGAATCTGGTTGCATGTACAATCTACCGTGGTGCCTTCCGTGGAAGAGAGGAGGCTACCAAACTGCTCAGCAGTCTTGAGCTTGTGCTTTCTACCGAGTGGCTGGGCCACACCTCCAGAGGCGTTCTTAGCCATGCTGCGTTTATGATTCAGAGTCTTTTGAGATCCACAGGACCCAGGGTGTTAAGTTCTGTGCAGTCTCACGCATGGTCCTAGCCCTTGACACACTGCACACACACACCCTGCTGATAAGAAGCAGCACGTTCGTAATGACAAGAGGAGCATTACTTTCAAACATCAGCCACCTACTTTACTGGAATATGTAATCGTATGTTCTGTCAGAACAAATCAAGCTTGCCGATTTTATTCCCTGAGCACAGCCCACACTCCTCAGCTTCGTATTGTTCCCTTGTTCCTGCTACCAGGAATGTCCCTCTGTCAGTTGAACCTACTGGCTTAATTCCTGATACATGAAGTCTTCAAGAACAGGGGTGTGTCCTAGCTACTTAGTAAATACTTATTAGAATGAGTTGAAATTCCTTATCTGCAGTGCCAAAATCTGAAAACTAAAAGATGTTTTCTTAAGTTTGGCTATAAAACTCATTTGCTTGTACACCTATGTTCTCCTAGTGAGAGCATTCACTGACTTTCTTTCATTTAGTATGAATGATCATTCATATCACTGCAGAAATATTAACAGATTTGGTTAAAGGAAACTGTACCAGCCCCTGTCGCGGGTTACATAGGTACCGTGTATGTTGTTTCCTTTTTAAAATCTGAGAAGTTCTAAATTCTGAAACATCTGACATTAACATCTGACAGTTACTTTTGCATGAAATTGTGGACTTTTATTTTCTAAGCCATAGGCCCAGAATAGGTAGTAAGATTTTCTAAGACATTAAACCTTTGAACCTATAGCTCCTTAGCATTTAAAAAATGTCTATTCTATATTTTTAAATTAAAAAGTAAACTCATTTTCAACTTTTTATAAAATAAACATTTAAATTTAGAATCTGTAAGTAGTGGCTTTTTAAGTCCATCTAAATGATCACACCTCAGGATACTATCACACCTCCTCATATCCATCAGTCTTGTAGCTCTACTTTCAAAACACTCCCGGTCCAGCCACTGCCAGCGGCCCGTCTGGTGGTGCCATCCAGTGCCTCAGTCCTGAACTTGAACTTTACTCCAGGACAGACCCAGAAGGTCTTCCCTCTGTCCTCATCTCAAGCTGTCCCTTCTGTACACAGCAGTCGGCGACCCTTTAAGCTGAAGTTACAGCATATAAAAACAGAGAACATATACAGCGAACCTTGGGGCTGGGGATTTAGCTCAACGGCACAGTACCTGCCTGGCAAACACAAGGTCGTGAGTTCGATTCCTGGTACCCGGGGAAAAAAAACAAAAACGAAACGAAAAACAAACAAAACAATACAGCGAACCTTACTAACTTTTCACCCGCTTCCACCCCTGTCCAAAAGGCCCATTTTGTTTCAACATAACCCCAATCTCATTACCACATCTCAGAAAGTGACATCAGTTCATTGATCATAAGATATCCAGTGTTCGCTCATACCTCACCAAGACTGGTTTTTTTAACTCTGTTGTTTGACTCTAGATCTAAATAAAGGCTCCACTTTGTATCATTATTTTCTTTTTGTAATGCTGGGCTTGAGCACAGGGCCTTTCCACTGAGCTTCATGCCCAGCCCTCATATTTTCTTTTTTTCTTGTTTTTACATTTTGAACAAGAGTTTCCCAAAATTGCCCAGGCTGGGGTCAAACTTACAGTTCTCCTGCCTCAGCCTCCCAGAGTGCTGAGATCACAGACAGGGACCACCACACCCAGCTTGCAACTGTTTGAAATATCTATGGAGGGGCTGGGGATTTAGCTCAGCGGCAAA